TAAAGGCACCCACAATGCAACATTACTGGTTGCCAGGTCCTGCAATACCCGGGCAATTTTGTTCAGAAGAACCGTCGGACACCAAAGTAGAAATTGTCCATAAGACTATTTCTAAATGCCTTACCTTAAATGCTACGATCTTAGCCTGATCTTCCAATTATTAGTTAAGAAAGGGGAGAAAAGTTAACTGCCAGCTCAATCTTCCTGTACACAACAGCAGACTGTCCCATTCCGCCCACGAATCTAACCCTACAATAGTCCACCACAGCTTGCCCAAAACCGCGAGTTAGATTCTCTATACTTTCAACCAGATGTAATTTTTAACATTGCAGTCAAATTACATGATCTAATAACTGAGTTCTAGATTTAAACTTGCGGAAACGGCATTTCCCATTCACCGACTGGTGGCAACGCCTTACATTTCGTGACACCAAGTGTGAAATAGAATCACCGTGTTAGCTCACCGTTTTAAAATTAAACGAACTCCAAGGGTGATGTAGTCAGTTGTAAAATACTGACATAGACCTGAAAATCATCATATGTGCACTGAATGTTTGTTCCTTGAAAGTGAGCATTGAAGTAATTGTTGTACATGCCACTTCAAACCACCAAACTGGTCTCTTTGCTTATCTACTCGTTGGTCTACATCAGAACAGGAACAATTACATGTTTGGATGAGGCTTACGGCAACATTTTTCCAGATGGAACACAGTGTGCGCGGATCCAAAACACAATGTAATCGGAGTCAAATCACTTGAGAATGTTGACATACGTTTCCGCAGTAATCACCCACCCCACACACACACACACACATATTTCAGTTACTGATCTAAGCGGATTAAAAATTTCATCCCGACCCCCAACGGATGCTTTCTGAACTTGCTCACATAATCCTCAGTTTGACTGTGCTAAATCCAGCTTGTGGAGAGATTTGGTTTTTCCTGGTTCTCACTTCGTCACTGTATACCATTCAACATATCCACCTCGCTCTCCATTATAATTTAAGCCAATTCAAGGATGTTGTATCCAATTTTTAAGTCAACTCGGGTTATGCAGATAAACAGATCCAATCGTGCTTAAACAGGACAAGTACCGGTGGTAATAGGCTTCCTCACTAAGTTTCCTTCATGTCTTGAACTTTAACCACCCATGAAATTCACTTTATAAATGATAAATTTTCAGAAAAACATGAAACGCTGTTAGATTCTAATTCAGACACATTTACATTAATTGAACTAATTCTTATTTGGTACAAAAAATTAACTATAATCACAACTATGGTAATTCCATTTGAAGAAAATTAATCTGAATATTTACAAAGGGGTTGTGACGTTTTAACTTTTGTTGTCATTGGAATATACAGCTATAAAAAGATTTAGTTTGAATTTGCGCAGGCTAGAACTTACATTTCATGTTTATCATTACTACAGTCATCATACAATTTGCTCAGCGAAAAATTAAGCCCAATGCTGCGTAACGTTTTCCTAAATGGAGCAGGCCATTATTCCGTGTAAGTTTTTGACCACGTACATACCCTAAATCATTCAACAAATTTAGTATGCAACGTTTGAAAGAGATATTCGTGCAGCTTTTTCGCCTAAGAAAGTGGTCTGAATCACTCTTTGAAAGTTTCGCGAACGGGACTTTTTCCGGCTTCTGGCATACATCTATAAGCTAGTTCATCGAACACCAATAAAGTGATATTCCATTGCAGACTAAATATTTCCCAACATTAACACATCTCCAATCCAGGTTGTCATCAATTATCCATAGTAACCTTGCTTGTGATTATTTGGTGTTTAGACATCGGCTTCGATTGAAGACGCCCATTCCCCCCTCCATAGATTTTGATATATCTGGAGGTGATCATACCCACAGTCAATATGTGTAAAATTTCAAGTAAACAGAAAATGGGTTAAAAAAATTTTTCCCCTAAACCCCTTGCAGATTACGCTCAGAGAAATGTGCACATAAATATCATACATTACAATACACGTTCACGCACCATGCCTTGGAAGATTTCGTGTGATTGGTTACATAGAGAGAGGGAACTTTGACAACCGCCGAAATGTGCGCCTACACCGGACCTGAATTTCATCTGAAAATAACCTCCGGTCAATCAAAAGTTCAGATCAGGTCGCCGATTATTGAGACAAAGCTAGCGTCCAATTGATTGTAATGTAACGGAATGGCTTCGAATGTTGACTTCAGTCATACAGGTTGTATTTGTTTGACATTAGACTATACCCGTTTCCTAAGGATGGTTTTAGTGCATACGCCAAAGGCCACTCGTTTGGCGGTTTTTCTTAATTGTTTTTCTTAATTAGAACTACACGGAGGATGAATGGCTGAAGTTGAAAGAAACGGAATTATTGAACAAAGATGTAAATTCTATTTCCATATTTGCAATTATTCTTGCAATTCCATCTAAATGCTTGAATGACGCGCTAAAATTTGCAGTGGATGATTAAGCAATTCGACTATTAACCATAGTCAGCAATGCAGATCACTTTAGTAACCCCGGTGGTATTCTTAGAATAATCGAATAAACTCTATTAGATCATCAACGACTTCGATAATAAATCGTTGTTAAGTCCAAAATCACAGGCCATCCGACGCATAGATGACTCATTATTTAATCATATTTGATTGAGCTTAGCAATGGGAATCGAATTCAACGAAAATGTCCCAATATGGAGATTGCTATCATTCTTTTTATTATTATTAGTTCAGTTGCAGAAGATCTCAAATAGACATAAAGAGCAGCGAATTGACTAATTCAACCATGCAGAACAAGAACAAGCAATGAAAAGTGAAGTTAAATCTAACAGGAACAATTTGTACTCTGTGTCAGGAAAGGACTCATTTGGACACACCATACCGCAATGAAGAACCTCAGTCATACGGAAATTTCACACTGGAAAATGCAAACATGAAAATGGTGTGGCAGAGTGATAAACACATATTTGTATGCATTTAAATCCATGTTATTCACTTCTAAAATACGTTAATCCTTCAATGAATCTGTCCACCAATTTGCAGCGATAATACCACAACTAACTGTTGTTGTAATTACTAAAACTCAGCAACGATAGCTGGAGAGCTGTTACAGTTTCAGATACTTCATATAGAAGAATATGCAATGACAATGAATGCATACGTTTAGTTGTAATTAAAGATAAATTACGAACTTGATTTCAAGGAAAGTTTCAAATTTGTCTATAAAATCTTGTATTATCTGCGCTACACTCATTTGATAAAGCTTTCGTTGGACCGTGGAGGATGTAACCACTCAGTCGTATCGATGATGAACATCCTGTCCAATCTATGCCTTATCCTAATCTTGTCCCATACTTGTCATATCTGAAGAATTTAATGTGACCATTTTTGGCAAAGAGAAAGCACATATTCTGGACGTTTTCCAACATACAAACATGTAAGTAAATCAATGAAATGGACGACGGTGACACAATATATATATACATATATATATATATAATCAAATAGAGTTTGGCTGATGAGAATTCCCTCTGAGAGAATGACTTGTTTTATCTATCACGAATTATTGTTGTTTTAATGGAAGTGTTGCCGAATAGGATTCAATTTCATGATGAACTCTGTCGTATAGATTACAAATAATTGTCAACTGGAAATCTGGGAAACACTGGAACATCCATCAAACCAATTGAATAAGGAGGTCACAAAATTATTTTTCATGTACATAGCACTATCATCTAGATCAGGTGTCTAACGGTCAGCGGGTAGTATGCTTGCCTCCTCACCGGTATTTTTTTCCGTAGGTCTATGAAGCGTTACCGGTGAAAATTGCTGTTTTTACGATTCAAGTGTCTTTCCTGAACAACAGTTTATTTATGCTTACCTTAATTTGTTCACCCTACGAGACTTTCAACGAAGTTCTCGATATGGAACGGTAGACCTAAGTTAAATTGCTCTCAAAATGTGTGATCGGAGTTGCAGTATTTGCAGCTCATTTATGTAAATTTCCTTCGAACAATTATACACAATTCCAAAATGAGAAAACGTATGATAAGATACGCAAACTATTGCGATAGAAATTTCTGAGAGATGTACTTAGGAACGGGACTTCCTTCAAAGGGTCAAATTTCCCTGTTCCTTGCATTCCTATTAATTTTGGAGATGCGATAATTGATTACTGTGTTTCTCAATTTTTGTGCTGATGGCTTATCAGATGGGAAAAAGAAGGCGTTAAGGGAGAACATAACTGAAATGAGAGAGAGATCGACCTCTGAATGAAATCCACAGACCATCGGTAGCATGACTTAAGTTGCAAATCGGTCGATTTAAATGTTCCTGAATAGGAAATATACTCAATAGCAAGTAAATAAACACGTTTTTCCAGACCATCAAATGATTATTGATCAATCAGCTTTTCTTTCGAGGCTTATGACTAAACAGATGAACAGGCGCAGAAACTAAAACTGCAATATGACGTTAGTTGTTTCCACAGTTGCTGATGAACATTGGTGTCACCAATGCGTGTTCCCTTGGATTCTCTTCCCTGTTATTTTTTTTTCAGAGTAAGCGGTTAGAGTATCCTTGTAATTTATATGTTATAAATATTCTGCTTCACCTAATCAGTAAAGTAAATTCTTTATTGTCGCATTGTAAAACGGGGACTCTGAAATACAGCTTGATCATTTACTGAACACCACCTATATCAGCCGTTGGCTTTAAAGATACTTGAATACGGATCATCAATTCCCGCTCGAAGTCTAAGAGAAAAAATATTCATCAGGTTTGGTGAAATAGGATGAATATGAGCACAGTAATGTTATTCAAGAATAAAAAGTGACAAATACATGAATCCGTTTCATCTTTTCATTGCATTGAGTACGTATAATTATCCAGTCATTTCACAAGTGAGCTACTAAATCTTGTCAGGATCGTGTTCTTGCTATGGAGAGCTGAGAATAAATCAAAGTTGGTCGTTAACTTACCTTTACTTTTCCGATATTATCATGCACGTGAAATATGGTTTGCGTTATGTGGTTCCGACCAAATGCACAATCCACAAAGCTGCACGTTCTCTTGCACCCCAAGGTCCTTTTTCCGACTACCAAACACCAAATGTGGACTTGGAATATTTTCTGCGCAAATTTCAGAAATCCGATATACAAAAACTGACAAATATTGATCACACACACGGACAGTGTTTAGGTCGTGTACCCAGACCGGAACCTAAATTCCATGCTGAACAGATGAAAAATTGGAAGGTTGACTGTGTCAAACAGAAACATGTGGCACTGATAGACGTGTTTTAGTAATTTCTTATCCTATTGGAACTTAGCAGTGACATGTCTTATTGTATTTGTTTAGTACTGAAAGTTATTCAAAATATTGTCCGTTTAAAGCTTATCGCGACTAACAGACATGCCCTTTAAGTATTTGAAAGAAATCGTTTATGGAGGCAAATCATTGTTTCCAGATACTGTTCAAGGTCAAACTAAAAATTGACTTCATCACGTTCAATATTTGCATTTTGAATTCATGACATGTATACACTTTCCGCTGAAAACTTAAATAAACTAAAGCTACGGAGTGACCCAGTGAAGTCATCAGTCAGTTGAATGCGGAATAGATTGAGCTATTTTTTCACTTATTGACTAGTATAAATAAGCTCTTTTTATACTGCAGCGCGGATTAGACAGCTAACATATCGATAACCGGCAAGAATAATGTAAAAAAAACAGCTATTCCGATGTGTCTATATCAACGTGATTGAACTTGAATGTAAGTTCTTTGGGTACGTTTTGACAGAAGTAAACTATGTGAAACACCGAAAATGACTACGAATTAGATTTAAGTAGGATACAATGAACCAATGAGAGGTCAGATTTATGTAACGAAAATCACTAAGGAATTTGGTACATCAGCTTCCCTCGCTCTCTTTCAGAGGTCCAAAAGAAAGTTCCCAAGAAATGTGCATATCGTTTTGGTTCATCAGTTGCTACGCAAGACGTGAGTTTAAATCTGCCAGGATAGCATAAAATAAAAGAAATCTCGATGTCAGCGTAATCGAACATTCAACATTGGAGGTATGGAAGAATACTCGTGTTACGATGAACACAAACAGTAGGTCAGCTTTTGTACGCATAAAAGGGTGTGTGGCTTGTAATGAGGAGCAATGTTTCAAAATTCAGGCATGTCATTGAGCAACACTATTTCGAAACATTGGGTGAGTTCAGATTTATGTTTTGTAGCGGTGATGAGTTTTGCAGTCCAGGTGACCAGTTTCCTCTAGACCGCTTCTATTGATGCCATCAGTTACATAATTTAAATGTGCATGCCCGTTTGTGGTGTGGTCTGTGGTTTGGCTCACAGTCTGGCGTCAGACCCGTGTGTAATATATATATATATATATATATATATATGCTCTGACTCCCGGTTAATCCAAGTATGGTATTATATTGTAATCATAAATGTTCTATGCATAGAACCTGCATTGCAGTCAAAATGTACTCATTAGAGAAGGAAAGGGGACTGTTAAGGTCTGAAACTTTTATGTGTCTGTAAAACCTGTTCTTTATTACTTAGACTATATGCTAAAGAGGATATCGTACGAGATATGTTTATACCAAAGGGAATACTACGATATTGAGAGTGACGGATAGAAACGAGAGGAAATTTAATCTGTGTGGTGAATTTATGGTGATCCATACGAATCGTACGTACAAAATTTTCACATGCATTCAAATGCCGTTAGCACAGTTCAGTTATCAACTTCTCCAGCGGTATTGGAGAGGCACACCCAAAGATGTGCGGTCCACGTCGATGCTGCTTAAAGCCTTTCTTTAAGGAATTGGAACGAAATTACGGGTGAAAAATAAGTTAAAGTGGGTTAACACATTAATACGCGAATTTCGGGAGAGTCGCTCGTTGAACTCCATACTGACTAAACTAACAGATATGGAAAAAAGTCCTCGAAATTTCGTGATGGTGTGTTGAATATGAGAGGTTTAATGAAGATTGTTATCGATAAAAACCCCGGATATTTGATACAGCTTGACCGAGATACTGAATCGGACTTAATCGATACCGGTCCAAACGAGAAAGGATAACATGATAACCTAGACGTACGAAACATATGTAGGGATTAAGATTAATGTGACGGAAAGTTGTTGATCACTATCCAAGTTGTCAGAAAATTGTGAAGGTCAAGAGGAATCGGAGATAACCTGACGTAAAACCACGTTGTCAGTGTATTTAAAAATAGAAGTAGCGGCATTAGCAGACAGGCCACGAAGATATGTAGAAAGTGAATATTACAAAAGGACTTTACCTTAGAGTATCCCATAGTTGTTCACCAAAGGTTTGAACTTCCTCTGAACTAACCTGGTACATTAGGCTATTTCAGAAAAGGAATCACCAAGCCAAGCTCATTACTGCCTTCAAAAACCCAAGGTCTCTAGTTTACGAAGCAGAAGGGAAAGAGGAATATAATCAAAAGCAGATGAGTAGTCCAAAAACGCACAACGAACAGATTTCGCAGAGTTGTTCATGGATTTGGTAATTTTATTCACGGTTGAGGAAATTGCATCTATCATGCATCGATTTGGTTTTTCGTCAAACATACAGGAGATATCACGAGAGGGGTGAATGCGTTTGGGGACAACACATTCGACTAGTTTTATACAAACAAAAGTGAAAGCGATAGGACAGAGGCGTTTGATTGGAACGGTCGAAGTGGGAGTTGGTTTTGAAATGAGAACAATTAATGCCCGTTTCCAACAAGCTGGTATGAAACAAGTGTTTAATGAAGTGTTTGAAATTGATGAAGATAATGTTGACACTGGTGAGGTTGTATGTTTTGTCGCAACTGCAAGCGAAATTGTAAATCAGATGTGAACACGTTGAACCACTGTCGTGGTTTATAGAAGGTGAAACCTAGTTTCCGTGGCTGCATTTAAAGGTCCAGTTCCAGTTCTGCTTTAGTCGATTAAATAACTATTTGTCCTTGAATAAAGAGAATATCATTACTTGTCTCCTTTTAAGGGATTCAGTGAAAAGGATTCATAAAAAAGCTCCATTAGGCTCTATGGAAAATGATAAGTCTTCGCTGTTTAAACAATCCATCTAAACCAAAATTTGAATCGCATCAGTCTCCTTTTTCTCGTATTGATAGCTAATCGAAAATAATTTCGTGATGTGATTGAATAATTGTTGTTATACCTGCGCTTTAAGGATAGATTATATGAAATTCCTGGTTTAGGTATCTTCAAAATGGTGAATAGTGTGATCAATTGAATGATCACAGAAACACAAACAAAAAACAGTAATATAATGCAGAGTGTGCCTAGCATTTTCTATATCCATTTTAATTTACTGAAAAATGTCACGAGTATTTATAGTAAGCGCTTTACACATTCAAGATCCTAAGTCTTTCATAATTAACAACAAGTATGAAGACGTATGAAAGGCGATTACCAGGCATGTGAATAACGAAGTACAGACAAATACAAAAGACAAACACTTTCATCATAAGGCAGACACTTAAATGTTTTAAATGTAATCAAGCCTCGCTAACTGATAATGCTATCGGCCTTGGGGGATTAAACTGTATGGTGAAGTATGGCGAGTATGTGACATAGCATTCTTCGGTCATCAGAAAAATGCAAATGTGTTGGCGATTAAAGTAATGCATAAGATTGATGAACTCCAGCTTGACGTTTGCTAGACTCTGTTATCTCACCTTCGTTGCCGTCGTCAAGTGTTAGTTTTCTACCAAGATTAAAAATCTATCAGCTACATCCAACTGACCAGCAGCTACGATGACTGCAGGAACGGATTTCTGTCTGCCTCGAAGAAGCATTTCGCAAAGCGCCGACTGTACCGAGCAACCGCACTTAAAATCTTTTCAGTACACTTTCTAGTGTCATCGGGAAACTATAGATCATTAACTTTTGTTGGATAAATTCTACACTGTTGATCAAAAATGAGAACCACAGATCCACCAGAACCATACACGCTCATGTCCATCTAATCAATGAAAACTTTGACTAAAAGTCCCTGAGCCCAACCGCGATACATTCGCATTACTTGATTTTCAATCACTCTGATGAATTGGCCTTCAGCTATATTTGTTTCATCTCATTGTCTCTGTGATAAAGATAGACCTTCAATGAGAACTGATAGAATATACGAAAGATATTTCGATTGCTGCAGATGAATCGCTTCGTGAACCCACCATCCTTGATACATGCATGACACGGTCTAATGTTAGACAAATGTGATCTAAACGCTCAGCCATCGCTAAAAGTTACTCCAACTACCTAGTCCTCATTAAAAGCATAACTTGCGTGAGCGGTGCATCGGCATCACTGGCGCAAAACGCAAAGAGTGATCGTATGTGGAACGATGAAAAGTTTCAAGTAGAAATAACAGATGGAAGAAAGGAGTTTGAAACTCGAAGGAACAGACAAAATCGGACTGAATACATTGACATTGTGAAACAAATGGTGGAATAGAGGGAGCTTATTTTCATCGACGCAATCTCTATTGGTTTAAAGTACCCAAAATACCGGATGAACAACAAGAGGCGCTGCTAAAACAGAAGTCAACTTTTAACCTTCAAAATGACAACCTTCTGGGTTTATTTATTGCTCCACGCGACGTTACTCATCTGTCGGACTGGTCGACTGCCGTGCGACCGATCAAATCATGCGCTCCCGGAATCTCTCTGTGAAATCTCGTCGTACATCGTCGAGTCTACGATCATTCGATCCAGTTCTGTGGGCTCTATCTTGTCATATCAATCACTTGAAAGTAAATCGCTCGTATCATTCCATTGTGACGTTTTTCTGTTTTCATCGAAGCTTTGGGATTCACTCAGGCGTGCAAAATTGTGCAATTTTATTCGCTGTGTCAATATTGTGATATCGCTCGAAAGGAAACTCAACAACCTTTCAAACGAATCTTGATTGAGCGCTCTACGTTCAGTTGCAAGCATTCTACTGATATAATTGTGCTGTTCAGTGCAATCTTTGCTACCACCGCAGTTGCACTTGTGTTCGTTGCCCTACGACCAGCAAAGCCGATGAATACTCCCAACGTGACCTTTGCCATTGTGTTGTGCACTTGTGACCTCCACTGACCCGGACGAGCGAGCGAAAGAGACAACTTCTTTCCTTCACGTGACCTTTTCATACTTCGTCAATCTCGCCGTTTGATAAAGTGCAAAAGTGGGAGGTCGCACAGTTTCAACAAGTGCTGCACCAGTTCTTTCGACGGCATTGGAAGTATGCCTACGGAGTTGTAGAAAAGA